AATCAGATGCTCATAAAGAAACAAAGAGGGAGTGAATGTGGGGAGAGGTGGAACACACTATATTTCTTTGAGACCAATGCTTATTTTCTTGGCTGGCAAATGCTTTTTTCTCACCTTTTGACATAATCCTAATGGTCCTATTAAAATTTAGCCTTCTCTCTCTTCTCCATCTGCTAGCACTATGTCGTTTGGTGGATGGTAGGCAGGTTTTAAGTTCTGAGCAGCAGAGAACAGGCTAAGTATTGGAACGGGATCATATGTCTTCTGTCTTCTTTTCAAAAACACACCCCTCCGCCCCCTGGTTTTATTGCTAAGTGTTGAGTTGCAGCTGGATGAGGAGAGGGTAGGACAGCAGGGAGATGTCTTTGCCTCTGAGGATTGTGCGATACCGAGGAGGGTTTTCCAAGGAGTTCAAGGAGTCTCTTTCATTAGGAATCTTTTGAAGCAAAATATTCTGATGCTGTTATTTTTGGAAATTCCAATTTGGGCTTGTTTAGATGATTCCCAACATGCCCTCCATTTCTTTGAGTGGGTGATTTTTGCGGCTGTGCTTTGGGTTCAAGTTCACAAATAATGTGAATGTGCCTCAGCCCCGTACAGACTTTCTGCCAACAACAAGAGCTGGAAAGAGCTGAGGCAGCTGTGTATTAAGGTCAAATATAGCTCGTGTTCAGCGAACATGAACTGTGTTTGCTCAGGCTCTTTGGATGAGCTCTTTGCCTAATGGGGAGCAGTGGCAGCAGCAGCTGGGGTGGGTAAGTGATACTGTGCTGCAGAGCCTCTGAAACTCCCTGCTCCATCACCGGCAGTGACATTCAATCCCTTCCAGGAAACAACGTGAGCCCACCACAGCTGGCCAGAGGGAGCTTTCTCTTCTGGGCGGGGTGGGTTACGGTCTTTAGAGGCTGAGTATAGCAGCCTGTGGAGAGCTTCGTGTGCTGTCAGGAGGCAAGAAGTGGTCGAGTGTCCTCCTTTCCCTTGCAGAGAGCTTCCGGAATGGAGCCCAGTTTTTAACTCAGGGATTTGGGAAGGGGTTTGGGATACTCAGAAAATGCCCATCATGTCAGGCTCCTGAGCAGAACTGGAGGAAGAGCCTTTTGAGAGGTGGCTGGTCCGGGGAGTGTGAACGCAGGGAGGTTTCTAGATCAGAGATGGGGCTGGGCTGTGGAAAGCTGGTGTGCCGACCTGCCTCAGGACACAGGCTAACACAAAGCCCTCCCTGATGTGGTGTTCTGAAGCTCTATTTTCCCCTCACCTCCTTTCCTTCCCTCCCTCCCTCCCTCCCCTCCCTCCCTCCCTCCCTCCCTCCTTCCCTCCTTCCTTCCTTCCTTCCTTTTGCTCTTGTTGTCCAGGCTGGAATACAATGGCGTGATCTCGGCTGACTGCAAGCTCTGCCTCCTGGGTTCAAGTGATTCTCATTCTCCTGCTTCAGCCATCTGAAAAGCAGGGATTACAGGCATGCGCCACCATGCCCAGCTAATTTTGTATTTTTAGTAGAGACAGGGTTTCTCCATGTTGGTCAGGCTGATCTCGAACTCCCAATCTAAGGTGATCCACCCATCTCGGCCTCCCAAAGTGCTGGGTTTACAGGTGTCAGTTGCCATGCCCAGCCTGGAGCTCTTTTCAATGTAGCTGTACTCAACATGAAGCTAAGGCTCTGTGTCCCCAGTAGCACTGGACACCAGGGTATCTCAACCTTGGTGGTGATATTGACATTTGGGATAGAGAATTCATGGTGGTGGGGTGGGGAGTGGGGAGTCCTGTGCATTGTAGGATGCTTAGCAGCATTCTTGGCTCTACCCCCTGTATGCCGGTAGCACTCCCATCCCACTGTTAGAACGAAAAATATTTCCAGACACTGCCAAACACCCCCCTGGTGGGGCAAAACTGCCCCCAATTGAAAAGCACTGCATTTTGCAGAAAATAAAACACACGGCCCTCTTCCCCCACCCCCTACCTCTGAATTTATATGTACTATTTAGGAGGAGAGCAGGTGGGAAGTCAGATAATATGTTTTTAATATTTGAATACGAGGCTCCTTTATTAGATTGAGGCTTACGAAACTGTCATTCTTTTTGGACGTCAACATGGTTGAATAAGGGCAATTTTGTATGGCTCAACCTAATACCAGCCCATGAAATCAGATTTGTACAAACCTCAGTCACAAGGGGCCTCAGGACAAGGTCATGACCTATGCTGTTTATTAAACACCTCGAGAAGCCTCCTCTGCAAGGAATTGCATTATTTAAGACCGGTAGGTGGGGTGAGGAGAGGGATTGCTGGAGTGAGTCTGAGAACGGAACCAAAAGCGTTGAAGAATATGGAAGAGGAGGGGGACAGGGATAGTTTTACATGTCCCTGGCTGTGGGAAAGGAAGATCGCAATCCCACCGGGATCATATAGCAGGAGGATCATTCAGGAGGGAAAGAGGGGAGAGGAGACCAAGAGATGCAAAAGGACCAGGGGAAAAAGGAGCTGGCTGAGGGAGGTGGGCTCCAGGAGACTTAGAGCAAAAATGAACTCCCGACTTACCTTCTTCCCTTTATGATTTAAGAGGCAGAGGTTGGCCGGGTGCCGTGGCTCATGCCTGTAATCCCAGCACTTTGGGAGGCCGAGATGGGCGGATCACCTGCGGTCAGGAGTTCAAGACCAGCCTGGCCAACATGGGAAACCCCATCTCTACTGAAAATATAAAAATTAGCTTGGCATGGTGGTGTGCACCTGTAATTCCAGCTACTTGGGAGGTTGAAGCAGAATTGCTGGAAGCTGGGAGGAGGAGCGGAGGCTGCAACGAGCCAAGATCCTGCCACTGCACTCCAGCCTGGACAACAGAGCGAGACTCTGTCTCAAAAATAAACAAAGGAGGCAGAGGTTAAGTACAGGTATGAATCTAGGGGCATCTGGAGACTTGCCCTGGGGGTTTGGGAACAACCTGAGTGTGGTATAGTTTTGGAGAGAAGAGAGGAGCTGGGGCTGGGCCCTGGGCATCTTCCCTTGCTGGCCTGGCCTCTCAGGAGCCTGCCCTCTGGGGCTTGGTAGATGTTAAGCCCCCTCGAGCAGCTGTGGGGACACCTCCTCTCAGCCATGGACCAACAACCAACCTCTTTGCTCCTTGACTCCTTTGTGTACCTAATTTTTTGTATATTACCGTCATGGTACCACTAAGACAAGTTCCTCAAAAAAGTGTTCTTGGTGTTTTTCCTTCTCTCCTGTTCCTTCTTCCTTGCCTCTCTGGCATGTCTTGATATGCCCTTTCAAAAATTGGTGCACTAAAACCTGTTTTCCCATTTTGTTACAAAATTCTCTGCAATTTGATCAGCTAGGGGTCTTGTTTGGGGCAAGAAGGGTGATCGGGCTGTGGCAGCCTGGGAGACTGGCTCTGGTGAGGCGCAGGCCTTGACGACTGCATAAGGAATGTGATGGCTCAGATAAATAGGGCCAATCCCAATTTGGGAATCTCATGAATTCACAGGCCGAGCAGGTCTCAGAGATGCTCCTTTCTGCAGCCCCATTTCACAGGTGAATCAATCCAGGCCCACGACAACCTCCTGACTCGCTTACATCACACAGTTAGTACCAACGTTGGGCACGTTAGTCTGTTGGCCTAAGCCCATGCTCTTTCCCCTGAATTACCCCAGTATGATGTGGTGTGGCAAAGGATGGAGAAAGTCCAAGGCCCCTGAATCAGGAGTTTTAGCTCCCATGTAAAGGAAAGGGCAGATGATTGCTGCTGTTACTTTTCTTTGGGAGTTTGGTGCAGTGCATTCGGTGCGCACGGGATGCAGGCTGGTCCAATGCCTGCCTAGGGGATTGACTCCTCCAGCCAGGAGCTCATTCACAGGGCTGTGCTCATTTGCAAACCAGGCAACACCGATCCATGATAGCTTCCTGCGCTCCCTGGCTCAGACTCAGTAAATATCTGCAGCATTTAGGTGGGAGGGAGGAAGCACAATAAAGAAGAAAGATACTTAGAGGGCGATTCCTCCTGACTCATTTGCAGTGCGAGTGGTTCTCTAGAACACACCTTGTATTTCGGTGGGTTTCCTTGGCCCCTCGTCAGAAAGCTGAAACTCAAGGAGAAGCATTCATGCAGATCCTTATGCTCAGCTGCAGATTTACCAGAAAGCTAATGAAACACGCTTTGGGACCTTTCACTTGTATGGGCCTCTTTCAAGTTCCCACAACTAATTTGTATGTATAATTTTGCAAACGCTTTATATTTTAAAAACTATAGATTCTTCTGGTCTTGCAAAATGTGGACTTGCTTCAGAAACCACAGCACATGATAGACTGGTGTCTTACATGATTTCACTAAACCGACTGGGAAAAGGCACCAGGGTCAGGAGTGCCCTCAGGAACAGGTGAATGGATGAACTAGAATATGTGTGTCAGAAACTGCCTTTCCACACAGGACCCTCTCACCCAAGCCCTGTTTAAACCAACATCAGCTCTGGCAAAGGAGGCAGTGAGAGCTCACTTGAATTTGGTTTCCTTTGTTTTTTCCCTCCCCTTCTTTCAATAGTGACATGGAGCAAAGGGTCATAGTTGAGTGGGGCATCCAGGAGCAGGGCTTAGGAAGAGGCTTTAGGCTCTGCTGAGGCCTTTGAGGATAATTGAAGGGAGCCTTAAAGGCTCCTCAAGCTAGAAACCAGCAAAGGGCCGGCGCAGTGGCTCACACCCGTAATCCTAGCCCTTTGGGAGGCTGAGGTGGGCGGATCGCCTGAGCTCAGGAGTTCGAGACCAGCCTGGGTAACACGGTGAAACTCCATCTCTACTAAAATACAAAAAAATTAGCTGGGTGTAGCGGTGTGTGCCTATAGTCCCAGCTGCTTGGGAGGCTGAGGCAGGAGAATTGCTTGATCCCAGGAGGTGGAGATCGCACTGAGCTGAGATCCCATTACTGCACTCCAGCCTTGGTGACAGAGTGAGCCAAAAAAAAAAAGAAACCAGCAAAGGCTGGGATGTTGTCACACAAGCTTAGGGTGGAGGCTTTACCTTACCTTGTCCTGTGTTCAAGGTGCACGGGGTTGCAGGTTTCAGTTGTGTTCTAGGGCAACGAGGGGCCACTCTAGGGTTGCTTGAGAGCTTTGCTTCCATTCATCCTCTTTCCCCTGCTCCCTCATTTGTGTGTGCGTAATTACAGTGACCAGCCTGCTGGCCTGTTTACAAGGGGAGGAAGTTCCTCCTCCCACCGCTTTTGTGGTAGCTTTAAGTGGACACTCTATTCTTCTGTGCTTCCTGCCTTGAAAGTGCTGACCAGGGTCACTCACAGGGCTGTTAAGCAGCTGCCGCGCATCGCCCTGGCAGCAAACAAGGCCATTCCAGGCCCATCCATCAGTGTGGCTCGACAAGTGCTTTGGGACCTGCCTGGGTGAAAGATGGGAAGTGAGTGTGGGCGTGGCCCTGACTCGCCTCAACCCCCAGACCAACTCTGTCTGAGGCCCTGGTGTCCCCGATGCAGGGAGGAGCAGAGACTGTGCGGAGAAGCTTGGACATCCCCACGCTGTCATCTGGGCAGTGGCCATGGCGACTTCTTTCTCATTCATTCTTTAAATATTAATTGATTGCCTGCTTAAGACTGCACAAAACTTGCATTGTCAACTGCCCTATTTCAATCGCCAACATTTGATTTGATGGATATAAAAAAGATAGCTTGGTTTTGGAGAAAAAAAGGAATTTTTTTTTTTTGAGACGGAGTCTTGCTCTGTCGCCCAGGCTGGAATGCAGTGGTGTGGTCATGGCTCACTGCAACCTCTGCCTCCTGGGTTCAAATGATTCTCGTGCCTCAGCTTTCTGTGTATTTGGGATTATGGGCACGCGCCACCATGCCCAGCTAATTTTTGTATTTTTAGTAGAGATGAGGTTTCACCATGTTGGCCAGGCTGATCTTGAATTTCTAACCTCAAGTGATCTGCCCACCTCGGCCTCCCAAAGTGCTGGATTACAGGTGTAAGCCACTGCTCCCAGCCAGAACTTTTTAATTTTAATTTTAATTTTTATCTTTCTTTACCCTGCCAGGGTGCCTAACATCCAGTGCAAGGCTTTAGTTTTTTCAGTAGATGATTCCAAACTGCTTTCCCCCAGATATCACAAGTGATTCCTAGTTTTCTAAATGGAGAATCCGAGATTTCACTTGGTTACTCTGTTCTTGAGAAAATAACATTGAAAACCCAAACTTCGGGCCAGGCATGGTGGCTCACACCTGTAATCCCAGCACTTTGGGAGGCGGAGTCGGGTGGATCACAAGGTCAAGAGATGGAGATCATCCTGGTCAACATGGTGAAACCTCGTCTCTACTAAAAATACAAAAATTAGCTGTGCATGGTGGCGCGCGCCCATAATCCCAAATACACGGAAAGCTGAGGCACAAGAATCATTTGAACCCAGGAAGCAGAGGTTGCAGTGAGCCATGACCACACCACTGCATTCTAGCCTGGCTGACAGAGCAAGACTCCGTCTCAAAAAAAAAAAAAGAAAGCCCAAACTTCATCTCCAAGGACTTTAGCCGTCGCCTCCTGTGTGGGCCCTGGGAAACCATGTGTATCCTCCTCTAACCCCTCCAGTGCTGGTGTCTGTATACTTCTGGTCTCTGCTTTTAGAAGGACAGGAGGGAGCCAGCAAGTGGAGATGGGTAGTGGGTGAGATAATATTCCCCCCTCTTAAGCCTCTGTCTGCTATGACAGCTCGTTTTGGGATTTCTGAGCCTTGGCCCTAGGATTACCCGTGAGATGGAATCATTAAAGAGAGCCAAGGGAGCAGAGGGGTGACACAGACAGGGAATGAGGTAGAAGGTGTAATGTCCTCTTTTTTTTATGTGGAGTCTCGCTCTGTTGCCCAGGCTGGAGTGCAGTGGCACGATCTCACCTCACTGCAACCTTCGCCTCCCAGGTTCAAACAATTCTCTTGCCTCAGCCTCCCAAGTAGCTGGGATTACTGGCATGTACCACCACACACAGTTAATTTTTGCATTTTTTTAAGAGAGATGGGGTTTCACCATGTTGGACAGGCTAGTCTCGAACTCCTGACGTCAGGTGATCTATCTGCCTTGGCCTCTCAAAGTGCTGGTATTACAAGCATGAGCCACTGCACCAGGCCAGAATAATGTCTTCTACTAAGTTTTTCAAATGCCTGTAGAGGCTGTTGTGAAATCGTACATATGTATGATAAAAGAATTATATAATTGACAGTGTCCTTTCGTGGCCATGTGCTTTTTCCACCCAGGGAAATTAAAATACAATTATTATGTGATTGTTGAGGATATTATTTGACTTAAAAGGGATCTTGATGGTTGACAAGTTCAGTGATCTTTAGAAACTAAAATATGAATATGTCAGCACAGTGGCTCATACCTGTCATTCCAGGGCTTCGGGAGGCTGAGATGGGAGAATTGCTTGAGCCTGGGAAATCAAAACCAGCCTGGCCAACATGGTGAGACCCCAGTCTCTAATTTAAAAAAAAAAAAAAAAAAAAAAGGATGTTCATTCTGGAAGATAAACTAGAAGCCACGGAAGCTGGCAGTGCTGGAAAAATGGCCTAAATCTGACTTTTACCTTTAGATCATTGGCCTTTCCGCAGTGCGCTCAAGCTCTGAGCTTTGCATGAACCTGATATGTTCATCACAACTGCTTCCAGAAGGTCTCTCAGAGCCAGTGAGTGAGGCAGGACTCTGAAGGAGGGAAGACAGAGAAGGAAAGTTAATCTTCCAGCAGCTCCTGGGGTGTAGAAAGCCCCTCAGATCCCTCAGCTCACCTCAGCTGTTTGTCTCCTGGCCAAGCTGCCCTGGTTTAGTGGTCGTTTAAATATTTTCTTTCCTTCCCCTTTGGGATGATGGATTGTGGATGTCTAAACATGGGCCTTTCCCACCGGGGCCTGTCCTGCGCCTTTCCTGGGTATAGAATGGGCTTGTTTGAAGGGCCTGATCTGTCATGGGTGCTGGCCAGCAGGAGCAGGGGCAGAAACACCTCTGTGTGCATAGCGCTCAGGCTGAGAGGCCCTTTCATTGGAGTAGTCAACACCTTTTGTTGCTGCCAGACCCTTCGGGATTGATCCAGCGTTCGCTGTCCTTTGAGGTGGGTTGGAGAGAGGTAAATGTGCCCACAGCAGCTTCCAGAAGGGACTCACTGAACACTGCCTCCTTTGGTTCCACCCTTCAGGAGATCTGCTAAGGAAAACAGAAGCTTGTTAGTCTCAATTTTGGCGATAAGTAGAGTACATAACCAGAGACAGTAAAACCCTTTTAGGAAGTTCCCACTTAACACATTTGCGTCTATGATTCTTCACATTCTTGCATCCTGCCCTTGATTCCCTATTTCCTTTCTATGAAATTTTCATGAGTTGGTTCCTTTTGAAAAAAGAAATCAGTTTTTGTTTTTTTTTAGACAGAGTTTCACTCTTGTTGCCCAGACTGGAGTGCAGTGGCACAATCTTGGTTCACTGCAACCTCTGCCTCCCGGGTTCAAGCGATTCTCCTGCCTCAGCCTCCCGCGTCGATGGGATTACAGGCATGTACCACCATGCCCGGCTAATTTTGTATTTTTAGTAGAGACAGGGTTTCTCCATGTTGGTCAGGCTGCTCTTGAACTCCTGACCTTAGGTGATCCGCCCGCCTCGGCCTCCCAAAGTGCTGGGTTTATAGGCATAAGCCACTGTGCCCAGCCAAAAAAAGAAATCTTAAATCACACATAATTATATTTACTCAGACTCTACTTAACATATGAACTCGCTGAAACTGACCAGGGGACCAGTCTGCTGGGAAATCTCAAGTTCAATCAACTGTTCCCAAATGGAGTATGAGAGAAGCAGAGGCCCACTGGGTCTGAGGTGTGGCTTTTGAATTGTGAAGATGCTTCTGCAAGCTTGTTGGTGGATGGTTGGGTTGACAATGGAATGTGTAGTTACTGTTGCAAACGATTAAACTGAAGTATGGTGATCTAAACTGCAAGTAAGGATTCTCAGCTCATCTCTCTGTCCTCAAACTGTCTTCCTTTGCCAAAACTGTCAACATTCTGCCCACAGATCGACTGTCAAATGGAATATGACAAACTCCAAAGCACGTTTTTCTCCAAAGCACCTATCTTGATTTCATGCTTTTCCCCTTATATTACCTACCTTAAGAGATTTTTGGTGGGGAGGAGGGAGGAGTACCAGGAGGAATTTTGCATAAGTGAATGCTTTTGCTCAAACTCTTGAACTCTTGAACTTTTGTTCAAATTCTAAGATTTTAAAGTTTTCCCCCTATTATATCTACACAGTTACTAAATTTGCAATGAAAGCAATGAATCCTTTATATTGGCCCCTCACACTATGTCTTGTGCAGAGGTCTGGAAAGATATGCCCGGTCTCATTCTCAAGAAACTGACCATCTGGTAGTCTGGGCAGGATTTATAAATGAGTCAGCTGAAGAGCAGTGTTTGATGGATGTAATCTAGTCTCTAGCCTAGCGCTCTGCGTGTAAAGAGGGCTCAGTTGATATTAACCCAACAAAGAAAGCAGTAAATGACGGTGTTCAGGCAACAGCGTGGTTGGACCTCAGAGAACTGGCTGAAGATGTAGGTTCCAATAGTTGGTGTTGTCTGTGTGCAGAAGGTGGGGGCATGAGCTAGGTCTTAAAGGAAGAGTGGAAAGATGGAATGGGTTAGAGAGAGGGTGTCACTGGTAATTGGAAAAGCCAGAGGAAAGATCCAGGGAACACTACCTTGGTTGGATCAGAGGGTATGCACTGACCAAGGAATAGTAAGAGATAAAATGAGATGAATTGTAGAAGCCGTTGAAAATTAGAGTTGAGACTTGGATTAAGCCAAGTTGAGAAAACTATAAAGGGAGGTGTTGTAGGTTTGGATGGTTTGCTTATAGTAAATTTCTTTCTTTTATTATTATTATTTTTTTCTGTTTTAGACAGTGTCGCCTAGGCTGGAGTGCAGTGGCACCATCTTGTCTCACTACAACCTCTGCTTCCTGGGCTCAAGCGATCCTCCCACCTCAGCCTCCTGAGTAGCTGGGACTACAGGCATGTGCCACCTCACCTGGCTAATTTTTTTTTTTCTGAGATGGAGTTTTTCTCTTGTCACCCAGGCTGGAGTGCAATGGCACAATCTCAGCTCACTACATCCTCCACCTCCAAGGTTCAATCAATTCTCTTGCCTCAGCCTGCCAAGTAGCTGGGATTATAGGTGCCTACCACCATGCCCAGCTAATTTTTGTATTTTTAGTAAAGATGGGTTTTCACCATGTTGGCCAGGCTGGTCTTGAACTCCTGACCTCAGATGCTCTGCCTGCCTTGGCCTCCCAAAGTGCTGGGATTACAGGCATGAGCCTGGCCTCAGCTAATTTTTTGTAGAGACAGGGTTTTGCC